GTTTTCAGGTACTTCCAGTTCAGGAGGGAAGCGCCTGGCTTGATTGCAGCGCATCCACCCACGTTTCCGCACATTATAATTTTGAAATTGTACCTTGATAAGTATTTTTACTCTGATATATTTCTGAATGATTGAAATGATTAAATGGTGTTTATGGTTGAATTAAAAATGAAATTTTTACCTTAAAATTTTTTGGACGTTACACACACCTTATAGCAAGTTACTACAAATTGATTATTTTTTGAGTAACTTTGATTATTAATATATAGCAACACTTATATTTGATTGGAAAAACATTATTTTATGAAAATAATATTTTACCAACATATTGATAATTATTGTTTTTAGGAAATAATAACAAAAAAGAACAAAAAATAGTTATATCATATCGTATGAATATATATGTTATGTACATATTAAACAGGCACTTTGAGTAACCATCTAGGTGACATGTAACTAGCTAAGTGTAAGATTAAGTAAATGACACTCTATGGTTTTGATTTCTTTGTCCAAAACCATATACACACAAGAGAGATAAGATTATTTGTGGTCTTTAATCATTGATCCCATGCTTGTCATAAAGAAGACCATGCTTTCATTTAATGACTAACTTTAACTTGGTTCATTTGTGGAAGTATATAAGGAAGACATGAGGCAAAAACTAGGAGTTTTTTATCACCAATTCCTCTCTAAAAGGGTTGCCATTTTCGTGGCTTTCTCCCCACCTTTCCTTATCTACGTTTTCACAAATTGGTGTATGAACTAAGTGCTTATAATTTGCTTCTCTCTAAGATTTTTTTGCTATAAACTTTAAGGCTTTAGAAAAACTAATATACAAGTGAAGACTAGCATCTTGAGGTGGTTTATCCTTTCTTGTTGGATACCTCTAGAGAATCTCTCCTTTGAGTCTTTTTTTTTTATATTCATCAACTTCCAACCCCCCTAGAGGAATCAACGTCTTCAAAGGTTGTAACATTTTTTTTCTTCTATGGGTGTGTTAATCTTTCCATGCTTTTCAAAATGATCCTTGGTGGGTTAAAAATGTTTTAAGTTTATTCTAATTTTAAAAGCTTCTATTTCTATTTTTGCGTTTTTGGAAAAATGATTTTGAATAAAACCTGACACGATTATGATTTGGCATAATGACTTCGATTTTGTTCATTTGAATAATGATTTGGCCTACATGAAAGCTATGTTAACCATGATGAAGTGAAAATTCGAAAAGTATTTTGGGGATATTAAGAATGCGAATATGTTACTTATATTGTAAGGATACTTGATCTAACAAATAAAGTAGCATACTTGGATATTTTACTTGATGATATTTACGAAAAATAAGATGGGGCTAAGATAAGGAAAGTAGTAAAGGACATTTTAACATCAGTTGTATGATGAGTATATGAGAGTTCATGGTTCTTCAACAAGTTCTTCTACTTCACCATTATTAGGAAATTGCCTGATAAACAACTTATCTCAAATCCTATAATGAGAAGGTAGATTAGGGGAGAATATGAATATTAAAATGATTGGTTTGCTGGATTCAAAGATAGAGTTGGATAGGTATTTAAGTGTAATTGTTGAAGATGAATATGATAAAACTGACATTTTTTATAGTGGAGGGTGAATGAAATGAGGTTTCCTATTTTATCATTGATTAATAGAGTTATTTGACGATTCCCGTATAAACGGTTGCTACTGAATCAATATTTAGCACACGGGAAAGAGTTCTAGATTCACTTAGGAGTTATTTGACTCTTGAAGTTAACGAGGCCCTTATTTTTACACAAGATTGGTTCCTCTATTCAAGTTGCAACATTGGTGTTGAAGAAGATTTTGATCGACTAAAAGTAGTTCAAGAAGGTACGATCGTCTACTTTTATTAGTTTATAACTTTATATACTTGTTTACCTTGAATTGTTTTAACTCTATCAAACTATTTCATTGTAGTTAGTGAGTAGAAGTGCATCTTGTTAGATAATTTAGAATTTTGGGACACTTTTATAGCAGGGGTCTTTTAGGAAACATTCCTTTTATGCATTTTTTGTGTTAGATTAGGATTCTAGTTTTATTAGTATAAATAAGGTTAATCTTTAGGATGTTTATGTTAAGTTTCCAACAATAAAGTTTTGTTTCTCAAAGTTTCTCTTATTCTTGGGCACCAAGGTAACATTAGTTTGATTTCTAACACTTTGTATCAGAGCCTAAGGTTCGTGAAGATATAGGGCGGCCGGTTTGAGAGTGTTTCAAGAAAAGTGTAGCTTCTTATTGTGGGGCAGACGCAACGGGATCAAGTTACATTGAAGGGGGTATGATTTGTTTTTGATCGCAAGCAGCCCCGATTTCTCTTAATCAGGTTTGTTTTAAGGTAGTGAGAGCTAACTGGAGGCATGGAATAAAAGGACGGGAAGACATCAAAGCGAGTGGCTTTGATTCGGTTCATTTTGCAAGTGACAGAATACGGTAAATGTGGTTGTGACCTTGTCATGTTGTTCGGTAGAAGAGTGCTCTCGGAACAAGCTTGATTAAAGAGGCTGGGGTTGTCAAAGGAGATAATAGGATGTCGATGGTTAAAGAAGGAGGTTTGATGACGTATCAAGTTTCGGTTTTGACTCCAACAAATTATCTGGTGTGGGCGGTCAAAGTCAAGTTGATTATGGATACACACGACATATGCGAGAAGGTTGAACTGATGGTGTTTGGTGGAAGAATATCTTGGAATATGCTTGATCGGTAAATGTATGGTTGTCAAGTTTTATTAGTATAAATAAGGTTAAGGATGTTTAAGTTAAGTTTTCTAGCAATAAAGCTTTGTTTCTCAAAGTTTCTCTTTGTTTTTTTCTTTGTGGTCAGATTTCATTCTTGGGCACCATTATAACATTAGTTTGATTTCTAACACATCTAACCAAATCTCGAAGTTTTCAAGATTCTAGTTTCGGTTACTATTTGTATTAATTTTTGCTTGGTGTTTTGAAGTAATTAGAAGTGTTTGTTTTTTTAATTAACTTATCGTTTATGTTTATGGATGATGTAATGTTACTATTTGGTACAAAAGGACTAGATGATGTCAAAGTGAGGGCCTATCAATGGGTAAAATGCTCTTTTTTTATTGGATAGTCGCTCGCTAGAGGAATTATTATATACTTATAAAAGAAACATTTTTTCTTTCACCACATTCATTTGAAACTCCCATTGATTTTTCCTTTCACCACATTCATTTGAAACTCCAATGACTTTTCATTTTCTTAATAATAATTATAATTTGGTTAATTAGGTTAAATAAATATTAAACCTAAAGTGTGATCATATATAAACTAAATTTCAATATTAAAATAATATATTTGCTACTACTTATAAAGTTATGTTTTTTTTTAACTTTTAGTATATTATATTTAATTTGTTAGTTTTAATATATTGTTGGATGTAAACAATTATCATTTTAAAAGTACAGTTTTGGAACAATTTGTATAAAATACTTAAATTATTAATTTAAATATAATATTACAGGGTCAACTTAAATATAAATTTTTATATTAACTTAAACAACCCAAAGAATATTATGTAAATAGTTAAAAGTGATAAATTGTAGTTTCTTTCTAATAATGGTTATAAGTTGGTTAATAAGGTTAAATAAATATCAAATCTAAAGTCTAATCATAAATAAATAAATTTCAATTTTAAAATAATATATTTACTTCTACTTATAAAGTAATGTTTTTAACTTTTAACATATTATACATAATTTAGTAGATTTAATATGTTGTTAAATGAAAATCATTATCAGTTTAAAGGTACAATATTAGAACAGTTTAGACAAAATTACTTAAATTGTTAACTTAAATATAACATGACAATATCAACTTAAATATAAATTTCAGTTCCACTTAAAAAACCGAACAATATTTTATAAATAGTTAAAAGTGATAAATTATAATGATAAATGCAAAAACTAAATTGTAATCTCAATTAAACTAAAATATTTCTTAAAGATATTTTTATAATCGTTAAAAAATTCCAAATAAGTATCTTAAAATAAATTACAATAATAATAGTTAAAAATAACTCTATATAAATGATTATATTGTTACCTTTAAAATAAAAAAAAATAATGTTTAATGTTTTAAATAATTATAATGATAGAAATTAAAACATTAAACAAATAAAATTTAAAAAATTAATTAAGAATAACAACAACTATAAATAAAATTAAATCATATATTATATTTAATTATATTTATGTATAACTCGCGGGTAAAAGTCATTCAAACGATTGAAATTATAAAGTTATATATATATATATATATATATATATATATATATATATATATATATATATATATATATTACCATATAATTCAAAATAATCAATATATTATATCAATTTAGTATATGAATTATTATATCAAATTTAACAACAACGTTATTGTTATATTAAAAAAAAGACATATATTTATAAAGATTTCAACTATATGGGTGTTTCTGTGCAACGCGCGGACATTCTCCTAGGCTTGTATATGTTAATGAAATTTATTGGAAGTACATGCCATATATAACTACATTTTTTAGCATCTTTATTTATTTTAGAGAGGTTTTGATATTTTATTATTTAACATGAATAAATCAGTAGTTCGTAAATTATTACTAGTAGTTTTCTCTGCTTCTTCTTCTTCAAGTACAATGGGTTTTTAAAATATGATTTTGTTTTTGATGATTTTATTAGAGGCCTTATCATTTACTTACAATAATAAAATTATTCGAGTGAAAGAAAAAGGAAAGGCAAAGAAAATTATTATTTTATGGTTTTCTTAAATCATATTTGTTAGTTGTATTGGATATTAAATAAAAGAATAAAATTCATGTATAAATTTGGACACGTAATTGGTTATTTTAATTACATCTTCGATGTCGTATGAAATTAGTGTTCACTTAAATCCCTATATATGTGTGATTTGTTTAACACTTATTTCAAATCAAGGGTAGAACATTAAGAAAAGCCTATAATAATGGTTGTTAAGCCTTTTGTTGTTGTGGCTTTATGTTTTTTGGTTTGTGCAACTCATATTGTGTATGGTAACTATCTTGTTCGAGAGGAGAAGTCATCTTTTGGATGTAATGTAGTAGACAACCCACTTCAATTGGCGATCAAACGTCGTGCCATATCGCATATGGGTTTGCATGTCGTTGAAGAGTTGGTTCATGCTTTGGGTAAAGTACCTTATGACCAAGATGGAGGAGAGACGAAAGAACAAATGAAATTTAGGTTCATAAATAATTCTGAAGAAAACGCCAATAGCGGGATTAAAAATGTAGAACGAGAAGGTTCTCGTGGTGGCATTGCTGGTAGCACACCTTGAGGTGTACTGCTGGAGGTAGCGACTGCGAAGGTTGTTACACAAACTCGACCCTTAAAATAAAATGGGAGCAACTAGCTTTCTAACATAATCTACCTATTTGTAATTGTGGTGTAAGGTTTGAGTTTATTTCGTATATGGATGTTTTCCGTCTATTATTAAATAAATAAATAAATAAAGGAATAGAAGCTGCAAAATCTTCACATATTGTTATGTTTTTGCGTATTCTTTGTATCAAACATAAACCATAAGCTTTTGACTATTTTTAATAAGGGAAAATGACTTAGGAGGGTAACTACCACTTATGCGTGTTCACATATTAGCAACTTCTTCTTTTTTGTACATAATAAAGCAACTAACTTGTTTTAACTGTTTAAATTACACCAATATTACCGGCTAATATCTGTTTTAACCGGTAACTCAAAGGAAAAATGACTTAAGAGGGTAACTACCTCTTATCCGTGTTCACATATTGGTAACTTCTTATTTTTTGTACATAAGAAAGCAAGTAACTTGTTTTAACTGTGTAACATCCCAAAAATCATAACCAAATTTTTTTTTTAATTTAATACTAAAACCATAATTGTCAAACCATTAATTTAATACTCTGGCATCGGGCCCCGCCCGACATCAGGCCCCGCTCGGTATACAGATATGTCTCTCTTAGGCCCTGCCTGTCTCCAGGGCCCGCCCGCTAAACACATACAATCCTATAACATGCTAACACATAATAAAACATACTTTACTGTATCCTTATCCTAAGAAACATACTCTGGTAATAATGAGATACAGAACATCGTTCGTACTCAGCTAGTGATGAGATACGGGAGCTCGCCCACACTCACCTCTTTACCAGGCACATACAAGTATCACACATACAACAAGTATAATCTAACATGAAAACATTCCTCAGGCACCCGTCCGATATCAGACCTTGGTCTGGAATAACATACTAGCAAACAATGCCTAGGGCTAACCCCCAAGTCTTCCTACTCATAGACTACATGGGCTGACATTGTGGCCTTAGACCCATTCACACAGTGAGGAGACTCACCTTGCACTGCTGAAGCCCTGGCTGGAACTAGCTGAGTACGGATGAAGTTATGTATCTCATTATTAGCAGAGTATGTTTCTTAGGACAGGGATACAATAGAGTATGTTTCTTTATGTGTTAGCATGTTAGATGATTGTAAGTGTTTAGCGGGCGGGGCCCAGAGACAGGCGGGGCCTAAGAGAGACATATATGTATACCGAGCGGGACTCGATGCCAGGCGGGGCCTGATGTCGGGCGAGGCCCGATGCTGGAGTATTAAAATAATGGTTTGACAATTATGGTTTTAATATTAAATTAAAAACTAAATTTTTGGTCATGATTTTTGGGATGTTACACAGTTAAAACAAGTTAGTTTTTTTCTTATGTACAAAAAATAAGAAGTTGTCAATATGTGAACACGGATAAGAGGTAGTTACCCTCCGTAATCATTTTCCCTTTGAGTTACTGGTTAAAACATGTATTAGCTGGTAATATTGGTATAATTTAAATAGTTAAAACAAGTTAGTTGCTTTATTATGTACAAAAAAGAAGAAGTTTCCAATATGTAAACACGGATAAGATGTAGTTACCCTCCTAAGGCATTATCCCTTTTAATAACTTATAAATTATAATATGTATATTCGAATGCAACCTCCGATAAACAAGTTTGATTCATACACAAAACTAATATTGAGGTATCATGTCCGATTCTGAAAAATGAAATATTCTTAAATGCTCAGAACAAGAAAAAAAGAGTCCTTATCTTTATTATAATTTTAAATTTGTAAATAAAAATATATAATAAAAAAATTAAGTCATGTGTAGTTACCCACTTTGCCCCCTCTAAACCCCATGTGAGCTATGATTTAGTTGTTATTTATTTATCATTAAGTGTTTTTTTAGATAGTGATTCAATATAATTATGGAATATACACTTAATAAAGTAAGCACGAATCATTAACAACCAAAAAATTTGTATGATGCATCAATAAAAACAATGAAAATAAGATGGTTATTATATTTTGATTATGTCTTTTGTTTAAATTTGTCATGACCAGCAGTAAATAGAATAGATATGACCAAAGAAGGGCACAATAATCACGTAACTATTGTCGGTATTGCTTGAAATAAGCGTTTCAATTGCAAATTATTATTATAACTTCAATTTTTTCTTCATTTGAAATTAAGATGTATTCTCAATGGAATTAATAATAACAATTTAAATTTCCAAATTATTAAAAATTAATTTATCAAATCCTATCTATTTAAGACTTATATAATAAGAAATAAAAATTGTGAAGTTTTACACAAGAATGACAATTGGTAATTGAAAAATAACAATTCAAAGTAATTACCAATCAAATATAAAGTTAAGAGAAATTACAAAAAAAAAGGCCTAAACTCTTAATTATTTTATAGAAAATAATCAAAAAAATCCAAATTACAAAAATAGCTATCAAAATCACAGATGGATAAAGTTCATCTGCAATTTCACATTTCCATCTGCGAACGTACAAATCTTTAAAACACATTCGTGCTTTATCCACTTGTACGTTTGCAACTCAGTCCATCTACGATTTCCCCTTTTTAGGGTATAAAAACGTAATATTTTTTTCTTTGGAGGCACTATGGACGATTTCATGAATAGTCCCGACAATATGGTAAGATCTTTACTCATGTTGTGTTTTAATCATCATTTATCAATTTTAGGCTTTGTTTATTTACGATTTTGTAACATCCGGATTCCCAGGTATATTATATTATTTATTTATTTGTGAGGTTTGCTGAGTAACTTGACGAGCTGGTGCCTCAACTCGTCGAGTAAAGTCGCGATTGGTGACGTGGATTAATGAGCTGACTCGACGAGTCTATGAGGCGACTCGTCGAGTCAGTGTTGTTGAAGGAAACCCTAAATTCTCGAGCCTGTGGCCTATTTAAGGACACTTATAGCCTCCATTTCGCCTCACCAGTACCCTTGCACCCTTGAGAGAAACCCTAACGTCCATAGTGAGCTTGAGTGGTGAGGATAGCTAATCTTGTGATCATTTTGGCTCATTTCCTTGAAGAGGAAGGAAGGTTCATCAAAGAGAAAGAAGGGAGGGCCAGTAGATCTACTTCATCTTCATCTCAGGCCTCAGATCAAGGTAAAAAAGCTTTTACCTTTCTTGTAGGATGGTTAGATCTCACGCTCTAGAGATTTAGGGCTTGTAACACCTTCTTGATGGGGCTATGGATGCATCAAGCCCCTTTTGAGTCTAGACTTCAGATCTGGACCTTGTGAGGTCCAGAGAGTCCACAAGTTCAGTACAATAGTTTATCAACTGAAGATTTTTGCATTTTGGAAGCATTAATGAAGTGGTAATGGCATATAGAGTAATATATGCCATGCATGGCCATCAAGATCGAAACTTTACGTGATTTTTGGACATTAGGAGGCTGGATCTAGAGGTTGGAGTTGCTGATCTGCTCTCAGGTGCCCAAATATGGAACCCGATTGGGTAAACTCGTCGATTTTATGAGATGACTCGACGAGTCGGGTCGGGTTTGTCCCAGTGTCCTTGACCCAGTAATAACTCATCGAGTTAGGGGTCAACTCGATAAGCTGAGTGAAACCCTAGCAAGACATCTGAGGATACAAGTGGACTCGACGAGTCACATGAGTGCACTCAGCGAGTCAGGTCAACTTTGACTGTTGACTCGTATTGACTTCTACTGACTTTGAGGATGGGTCAATTATGAGCATTTGAGACCATGAAGGGGTAAGATAGTCTTTTACCCATCCCGAGGGTTAGAAAGAGAATAAGAGAACTTGTGGTGTAATTGAGTAAGAGTGGGGTATTGATTAGAGATGCTTATCTAATGTGTTAGGAGGAGGCTAGTTCGAGATTTCCGAGTATGTGTCTATTACTTGCTAGCTACAAGGTGAGTCTTCTCACTATACTATACCTAGAGTGGTAATTATGTGTGACCAGAGGGTCGTATGTGCTTGCTTGAGTTATGCATCTTCTGTGTTATATGTGTTATATGTTATATTATGTGATACTTAGACCGGACCGGAGGGTCCAACGAGCTATGAGACTAGAGGTTCCTCACTTAGACTGGACCAGAGGGTCCAACGAGCTATGGTACTGGATGGTCCCAATGAGACACATTGACCGAAGGGTCTGACAAAGCTATAGCCGCGAGTGGTTAATTATTTGTGCATGGTATTTTGGGTAACTCACTAAGCTTCGTGCTTACCGTGTTATATGTTATGTGTTTCAGGTACTTCCGAGGATCGCGGGAATGCACTGGCTTGATTGTACACACACATCTGAGCTGGAGTTATATTTATTTTGGATCCTGGATTTGTAACAAATGATTTTGAAAAATGTATCGATATTTGATACTTGAGGTTTTTGGTGAAATGTGATATGTGTTTTATTGTGTTTGGAAAATGGAAAATTTTGGTTTGAAAATTTACGTCGTTATAGATTTATTGGGAAAAAGTTTGAAAAAAAATGAAAATCTAAGGTGTTGCTCATTCGATTTTCTTAGATCTATGTGTTATATTTGATATTTACAAGATTTGATAAATAGCATTGAGGTTTTGTGTAACGCCCCAATTCCATAGGTGTTGTTGAAGGGCTTAAATTGTAAATTAAGGAAAGGGACTCGATGAGTAGGCATGCTTACTCGCCAAGTCAGAGCAGGATTCGTCGCGGGTTTAATTGGCCAACTCGCCGATTCGACGGCTTGTACTTGACGAGTTGGTGCTGAAGGGAGATAACCCTAATCCCGGGGATTGTGCCCTATATAAAGCACATTATAACCCACCCTCAGCCTCTTTGCTACCCTTTTGGGATCCAAAAGCCCTAATTTCGTTTGTGAGAAGACTTGAAAGCAAATTGGTGTGATTTGTGAAGGGATCTTGAAGATCAAGAAGCTTAGATCAAGGAGACTTGAAGAGATCCGGATTATACTTCAGTGG